TGGGGCTGGTCCTGCTCTGAGCAGGGGGTTGGACCAGATGTGACCTCCTGAGGTCCCTCCCAACCCTCATGCTTTAGGATGCTATGACCTGACCCTTGCCAAGGAAGCTGGTGTGTGGCAGCCTAAAAAGCAGGGGGTTGTTGTCCAGGGCGCTCTGTCTTTCATTCATACTCTTAGATGTACCAAACCCCACGCTGACTCCATTCAGCAAGCACACAGCAGTCAATGGGGCGAGCTCCCCTACTGCTCCAGCTCCGACTTGCCTCCTGCTCTGTAGCCGCCCTTGTCTTTCAAAATAGGATGAATCAAACATCAGGGATGTGACTGCTCGGACTGTCCGCGGTTACCGAGATGGAGAGGGGCCGTTTGTAGGAAGTGGTAGCAATCTGCCAGGGGAAGTTTCATCCTTCCCGTGCCAGTCTCCCACGCCCCTCACAGAAGGCCTGATCCTGCATGAGTGAAATCGGTTGTAAAACTCCCCCATGACCAACTCAGAAATATCTGATGACCGAGTAGGAGCAGCTCTGTCACCCTCTCTGGATGTGGAAATGGGCTTGTGATAGGGAGCCTAGGGAGATGTCTGCACATCCAAGAGCCAACCTGTCCCTGCGGCCTCTTGCTCCTGACATCCGAGCTGCGGCAGAGCAGTGTTCAGACAGCCGCCCGCTTTAAAAGATGGCATCAACATTGCAATTTTAAAGCCTTTATAAGCTCTGTGGCTGTCACTCCAGTTTGTGTGCTGAGCTCCCCAAGCCCGCCAGCCTGAGCGGGACGGCTCAGGGAGGCAGTTTGGAAAACGAGATAAAAAAGCTGCAGTAACGGCAAACCCTCTCGCCGAGCCGTTGTTGCTGCAACAGGCCGGTTTCTTAAGTTCCTGCCTCTCACCAACCTGACCTTGACAGTTCCTGCACCCCCCCAACCCACTGAAAGGCTCCGGGATTTGGGACAAGATGCATTTTGCTTGCACCTCCATCTGGTTAATAAGTGCCATGTTACCCGTCGGAAAGTTTGCCGTGCGGGAAGTTAGTGGAAAACCAGCCGGGTGGCTGACAGCCTGTGCGATCACAGCTTCAGCATCCTATTATTGTGCCTTGAATGCTCCGGAGGCAATTCTGCAGCCGGTTCACTGGGCACGGGGTCGAGCCCCCTGAGCAAACAAGGGGCCACCTCTTTCAGGGTTGGGTTTTTCATCCTGGCTTTTGCAAAGCAGGAGAGGCTCCCCTGCACCCACACCCGGCCAGTGTGCCCAAGGCTGAGGTTGGGAGGCTAGGGGCAAGGGAGTCCCAGGCAGGGGGTGGGTTTCCTTGCTCCCTGGAGCTGTGAGGGGCTGGCGGCCGGGTGGACCGCTCTGCTGACAGATCGGGAGCCTGACTTTGTGCTGATAAAAGTGAGTGTCTTGTTTTCATGCCGTGCCTCAGGGCGGCTCTTTGAGGGCCCCGTCTTCCATTTTTTACATAGCGGTTCTCAAGGTTTTTACACCCCAGGCAGCCCTCTCCCCTCCCAAGACTCAAGGGCCCCTGGTTAGCAGCGGTCTCAAGTTGCCTCCACCGGGCCTCTCTGCAGTGCACATGAACCCCCTCCGCAGCAGCAGCTGTGGGCCCCCAGCTTTCCCTGGGGTGGGGGCGATTGATGTCCAGGGCAGGGGCGATTGTTGCCCAGGGGTGGGGGCGATTGATACTCAGGGTGGGGGCGACTGATGACCAGGGGCAGGGGCGATTGATGCGCAGGGGTGGAAGTGATTGATGCCCGGGGCGGGGGCGATTGATGCCCGGGGCGAGGGTGACTGATGCCCAGGGGTGAGGGTGATTGATGCCCGGGGCAGGGGCAATTGATGCCCAGGGGCGGGGGTGATTGATGCCCAGGGGTGGAAGTGATTGATACCCGGGGCGGGGGTGATTGATGCCCAGCGGTGGGGGTGATTGATGCCTGGAGCGTGGGTGATTGATGCCTGGGGCGGGGGTGTTTGATGCCTGGGGTGGGGGCGACTGATGCCCAGGGGTGGAAGTGATTGATGCCTGGGACGGGGGTGATTGATGCCCAGGGGCGGGGGTGATTGATGCCCAGGGGTGGAAGTGATTGATGCCCGGGGTGGGGGCGATTGATGCCCAGGGTTGGAAGTGACTGATACCTGGGACGGTGGCGATTGATGCCCAGGGCGGGGGCCATTGATGCCCAGGGGTGGAAGTGATAGATGCCCAGGGGTGGAAGTGATTGATGCCTGGGACGGGGGCGATTGATGCCTGG